GGGCTATCTTTCATGTATAATGAATCCAGAAGATGTGGAATCATAATGTTATCCCTCATTCATCAAGAAACGAGGCAATCACAATCTTCTCAACAAGCAAATACAAGCTAATGTCACACATTTTGTTCAAGAAGTCAAAAATCGAGAAAAAGAAAAAAGCCTGCTAAGTCAAAAAACATGAAAACGTGTGACTTAGGAAAAATTAAGGCATCCCGCTGGACTATCAATCCAAAAGAATTAGTTCAGGCAAAAATTAGGGAAAATAAAATTGCAAAGAAAAGGACTGCAAAGAAAAGTCCTCAACAAAGAACAAATGGGTGACTACAAACACGAAGACATGAGGGCGGTTTCTACTCCGAAAGCCTCGTCGTTTCCTTGACCGTCACAAAATCCTTTTGAGAGATGAACACTCATGTTGAATTAACTGAACATAGGATTGGAGAACATCATGAAGGGGGTGGGCACCAAATATTTTGAGCCTTAAATCTTTTTTTCTAAAACCATAAACAAGACCACGTTACAACCTTCAAAAGTCCTAATTGAAGCAAGGTTATTTTGAAAGCATACTTCAATGAGATAGTGTTCCTGACTCCCATGAATGTTCTAAATAGTTATGTTGGTATCATATGTTTTTCCTATACAAAAAATAAATGGTGCTTTAACTCGCAAAATTTGTGCGATATCTTTCAAAATCTTCAAGACTTACATAACTGTTGCATTAGAATTTTCATTCTCATTGTAAACTTTTTCTAACTGCAAAACATTTGTTTGATATCAAGGAAGCTCATATAAGCACCAGTGATGAGTTTATTCTTTTAAGGCTTGAAACTATGTTGAGTAATTGGAGAATCATTTCAAGAGAAACCATATCCGGGGGCATGTCACTTGAAGACCGTAAGCACGAACATGTTGCTTCTCCCAGTTAATGCTTTCCCAACTTGTTTACCCTCTTATTGGGGCAAAAGTTGAAGACTTTGTTGTGCCAACTACAGTCAATCCGGGGCAATCACATCGAAATTTGATGAATCTCTCTAAGAGTTTTAAGACACCAGAGCATAGTTAATGCCAGGTCTTTTGTAAAATCCTCTTGAGACGATTTCTCCTCATCAACCATATAGCTTGGGGCATTTTAGAAGTGAAGTTATTCGCAAGAATCATCACGCAGCTTATCAACAGTAAACTTGGGGCATCCAAAATTAATCCCAGGGGCAATCCAGATTTGTCAAGATATGTTTTTCATACATTATCAGAGGGTGGTGTTCTCAGTATCTCCATCTAAGCAAGACTTTTTCCAGCTGAAGCATTGTTCGTGTTTTTATCCTTTCAATGGATTGTTGACGATAGAAGACCGGACTTTGGGTTTTCTACCAAAAAATATCTTCCTCTTCATAGATATTTAAGCCTTGTAAAAGGACCTTGCTCCAATGATGGCATGTGTTTTATCTCCAGTAATATTCCCATCTTGTTGAGATTAGCCGTGTGTTGAGTTGTACTGTGACGTCTTATCATCTCCTGTCTATCTCCTGTCTGTTTTGTCAGCATATACATGACATTCATTTATTCATTCACACTTGCACCATGCATGCACAGTTGTATTTGTTGATGTCATTGAGTTCGTATACCTTGGTTGGGTCTATTCAAATAATGTATTTGATCTTTCCAAGTAGAGTGCCAACGTAAGCAGAAAGTGCGCCTCCTTTCTAATTCCCCACTGAGTTAACTCTCGTGGAAGAATCTTGGTTTAGCTTTCCTTTTCCAAATCTGGATAGGATAAATCCCCATTTGAGTTGTTTCCTCATTGGGTGGAGTCTTGTTTGACTGTTTTCTCCCCAGTTTATTCATGGATTGAGCTTTGTCTCTTGTGAACGATACCCTGTGAATATCTCTAGGCTGTGAAACCTAGATGGAGAGTACACTTATTTTGCAATGTAAATACTTGGTCTCCTCAAGAAGGATTTACTCATGGTTCCCCATTGAAGATGAACTTTATTCCCCAGTAGTGTTATCACAACCTTCTTCTGGAATATCGACATGACAACAAGCGACTGACTCTTTATTTGAGCAGTTTGATTATTTCTGATTTCTCTACGACAAATGGCGGTCTCTTCATGAGCAGTTTGTCCACCCTCGATGAAATTATTGATTCTCACCTCCAGCAATATCTTCACGATATTTTATGAGTATCTTCAATAAAACAGCAAGCGGCGGTCTCTTCATGAGCAACTTGTGTGTTAATGTCACCTTTCAAAACATCAAGCGGCGGTCTCTTCATGGACAACTTGTATGTTATCAACACTTTTAAAAACAGCAAGCGGCAGTCTCTTCATGGACAACTTGTATGTTATCAACACTTTTAAAAACAGCAAGCGGCAGTCTCTTCATGGACAACTTGTATGTTATCAACACTTTTTGAAAACGGAAAGTGGCGGTCTCTTCATGAGCAGCTTGTACGGAAAATGGCAAGTGGCAGCTTCTTCATGAGCAGCTTGTACGTTAGTTTTTTTGGAAGACAACAAGTGGCAGCTTATCTATTTGAGCAACTTGTGTGTTATTGTTCCCTTGAAAACGGCAAGTGGCAGCTTCTTCATGAGCAGCTTGTACGTTAGTTTTTTGGAAGACAACAAGTGGCAGCTTATCTATTTGAGTAACTTGTGTGTTATTGTTCCCTTGAAAACAACAAGTGGCGGTCTCTTCATGAGCAGCTTATACAGAAAACGGCAAGTGGCAGCTTCTTCATGAGCAGCTTGTACGTTAGTATTTTTGGAAGATAGCAAATGGCAGCTTCTTTATTTAAGCAACTTGTATGTCATAGCACTTTTTTTGAAGACAGCAAGTGGCAGCTTCTTTATGAGCAGCTTGTGGATTTTTGGCAACAAGTGGCGGACTCTTCATGAGCAGCTTGTGTGCTTTAATATTCTCTGAAGACAGCAAGTGGCGGTCTCTTCATGAGCAGCTTGTATGTTATTGACACCTTTGAAAGGAAGCAAGTGGCGGCCTCTTTATTTGAGCAGCTTGTGTATCTCCAACAATAATGTCTACTCAGCAAATGGCATCCCTTCGGAAGAGTCCCGTGGGAAAGTTTGTTATTTTATCCTTTTCAAGCGATATCTTGGTTAGAGAAGAAATGTGTTACCGTTCTTGGTAAAATTCAGAAATCAGAGATGTTTATCTCCAGCCGCAGTGTTGATGTCAATCATTTCCTTTTCCAGCCACAGTACTGATGTCCATCATTTTCTTTTCCAGTCACAGTACTGATGTCAATCATTACCTGTTCCAGTCTTAGTACTGATGTAAATCACCTCTTTTTCCAGTCTTCGTACTGATGTAAATCATCTCTTTTCCAGTCTCAACACTGATGTAAATCATTCAAGAGCCTCTCATTTGAAGTCTATGACTTTGTTTCCCAGTGGAGTTACAACCTCTTCCTCTGTGGGATTACTGTATAATGTGCTTGGTTTCTCCAGCATAGTCTGTCTCATATGTTGTCATTCCCCATAAAACTCAGAGCATTACATTCATATCATATCATGAACATGATCGCGGTATCTTAAGGCCAACAATTGTGTATTCTATATTTAAGTCCCTTCAATCTCGTCGAAATGAAGATCCCAATCTTCATATCTCCAGATAGAAGAAACTTAAATAGGGGCAGCTGTTGTACCCCAATTTTTGACCTAAGATCCCGCATTCCATCCGCATCATTGCATGGCAAGAGTTCACAAGCAATTCGACCTATTTTTGCCAATTCCCAAGTCAGATTTCAAAAATTCATAACTTCTTCAAATTTCAATATTTTGAGGGGTTATTTTTTGCATATGATTTTTCTTGACACCATCTACAATTTTTTTCTTTACAAGACAAGAGATGATTATGCATTGAAAAGCCACGAAAAAGTTATTAACGTTCGAAGTTGTTTCACGAATTTAATGGAATTTGATTCTTAATTTTGGACTATGTTTTATCCGACCATAAATTTTACACTTTCTCTTCTTTTATTTTTAATTCCATGAAAAATCCTAAAAAAATATTTAGTTCATGTCATCTTAATTACATTATTATTCAAAATATCAAAAAAAAGTAGTCTCTTCAAGTTTCATTTAGATTTTTATTCTTAAGTCAAAATTATAGTCTTCTAGATTTAATTTAGTCAAAATCTCAACAAAAAAAAACATGTCTTAACATTATTTTATTTTAGCATTTCACTTTAATCACAAAAAATATATAGTTAATATCTTTTCCTTTTAATTCTTTTAGTTATTATAATTTTCATTTCTTTCTTTCAATATTAATCTTGATTTGGTTCTAATTTTAATTCAACTTTTTAGTTGAGTTATTATTAAAATTAAAATTAATTTTAATTTCTCTTTAATTTTCATGTTTTGGAAACTTTTAGTTTAATATTTTTATTTTTATTTTTGTTATTATTATTGTTATTATTATTATTATGCTATTCCTCTCCTTGTAAAAAATGTCCAAACAAATACCAAGTCTAAACCTTGCTTCAATTTTCATCCAAACCTGTCCACCAAAACAACAAAATATATGAAAACAAAATCAGTCCAATATTTTGAAAGAAAAGAGAGGGAAAATACATGTATGGTTACATGGAAAAAATCAGAAAAAACGCAAAGTAGAAAAGAGACCTTTCAATGATAATTTTACTGCTGCACATCAGTCCAAAAATAATGCCCAAAACTGTAGTTTGCTTGCTGTCCAGAATAAACTGCTCCAAACATTACCCAGAATGGTTAAATTTTTCCTGCATCAAGAAAGCATAAGGCAATTGACATAAACTAGAATTCAACTGATATTTGGCTCCAATTTTCCCTCTAATTCTATGATACATTCACTATAAAAACAGAAGCAAAAGAAAAACAGGGGGGACACAACAAAAACCAAAAAAATTATACACAGTAACTCATTTTCCTGCTCACTCACCACCACCTCATCCTCCTGCTTCTGTTCATTCACCACACTACCTTAACCCCCCTTCAATTTATTCATTCACAAAAACAACAACATGAAACAACCCAATCCACTTCCGTCATGACCGCTTTGCCCCTGTATCTTTTTCCATTTCGAATTACAGTCCCTTCTCCTTTAGCCCGCGAGGAACATTTGTTTCTCCTGCATAACATTAATTCACACTTCAATTCATCTTCTATATCACAATAATTGAATCAATAACACTCACTTTTTGGTCACCATTTTCAGATTCTTCCTATAAGCCAAATCATGTGTTAGATACTTCAAACTTCAATAGCTAGTTCAGTATGAATATCTTAGGAAATAATAGGTTTTGTATTGATCCTACTCTCATTACAGTAACCTATTGCAGTAACCTCTTATGCAAAATTTACAACCGACTAAATACTCCCCGTTGTCAAAACACTTCTCCAAGCACTTAACAGTCAAGCACAACTCAGCTGCTCCCACCGCACATCTTCATCTATTCATTGTTACCGTCAAGTTGCACGGTATCATCAGTTCACGAACTACCAGTTCCGTCAAAGGCATAACTTTCTTGTTACAGGAGCTTCCTCAGGCCAGCCAACAGGAATCAACATCCCAACAGTTACACATCATCAACATCTAGCAATCCCAAACCTCTCCACGCAAACCGCAACAGCATACCAACATAACACAACTCCTCAAACCTCCATACACTACCCTTCAAAATTTCATAACCATTCCGCAAGCCTCACAATCAAAAACACAATCGCCAAATTTCAACAACACCAGTCAACAGAAACCAACTGTAACCCACTTTCAATTTTAATACCAGCAACAAAGTCCTTTCCACTCTCCATTCAACTAACCAACACATTATAACTTCAAACCACCGTCACTCAGGATTCATACCAGCTCGCGTAGTTCAAGATCTCAACATCATGGTCACCACAACCTGTAAATTAGAATGCAAAAAATAGAAGAAATTTGGTTCAAGCTTTTTGTCAAACAGGTGGTGGACAGGATGCAACACACACAAAGAAACAACACGAATCAAACGTCCATACTGTAACATAATCGCCATTGTACCTGCAAGTTTTAGATTGCAACTACCAGGACTCGATTTTCAGAAAGCAGAAGGATCAAAGTGTCAAACTTAAAACAAATCCGGAGAAAATCACCTCTCTGTAGAAAAACCGCAGAAACATAGTTGAGATGGAGAAGAAACTGATTGAAGAGGGAACAAGGAAACAATTTTCATGAGTGAGAGAAATGAGGGCCATGGAAGCTTTCTCTGTTTTTTTTGCTGTTTAGATGAAAGAGAAGCAGAGTGTTGGAGAAAGAAAGAGTAACCGAGTTTGGATCTGAAACTCTCTCAACGTGTAAGTATTTTGGGTTTTTATTTTATTTTTTATTAATCAATTTAATTCCACGTGTCATTTTCTGCATGGCTGTAATTTCAAGATGAATTGGTCAAAACCTTCCCCATGAAACATTTGTCGCCCCATACTTATCTTTGTTGTAACTTTCATATTATTTCTTCTTTTTGTTTTTTACATTATGTTGGTAAGATTTAAAATTAAAAAAAACAACAAAAAAAACAACAATAAAAAGCAGTAGCAATACTCTTTTCCTCTCGCCATATACTGCCTCCAATAATTATTAGTTACACATTTCAATTTGTTTATTTTAAATAATAATTAGTTTAGTTAATTTAGTTATTTTATAGATTTAATTAAATAATTATGTTTGATCTAACTAGATAATCTTAATTATTTAGATTAATTTTAGACTTAATTTAATAACTTTAGAAATTTCAATTTGTTTAGATCTATTTTATAACTTTAGAACTTCTAATTAGTGTAGATACATTTTGATAACTTTAGAATCTTAATTTAGTCTTAGAATTTTAATCTTTAGTTTAGAATTAATTTAGTTTAGTATTAATTTAGATTTATTTTATAACTTTTTGTTTTAGCTTTAGTTTAGTAAACTTTAGGATTTTATGTGTTGTAGTATTATTTTAGTAACTTTAAGATTTTATTTCATTTAGATTTGACTTAGTAAATTTTAGAGTTTATTTGTTTTAGTTTTGACTTAGTAAACTTTAGAATTTTATTTAGTTTTATTTTAGTAACTTTAGGATTTTATTTCATTTAGATTTGACTTAGTAAATTTTAGAGTTTTATTTTAGTTTTTGACTTAGTAAACTTTAGAATTTTATTTGTTTTAGTTTTTGACTTAGTAAACTTTAGAATTTTATTTTGTTTTAGTTTTAATTTAATAAACTTTAGAATTTTATTTTATTTTATTTAAGTTAACTTTAGAATTTTAGTTGTTAGTTTTAGTTTAGGGACTTTAGAACTTTATTCGATTTAGAATTAGTTTAATAAGTTTAGAATTTTAGTTGTTTAGAATTAGTTTAATATTCTTTTAGAATTTTATTTGATTTAGATTTAGTTTAGTAACTTTGGAACTTTTTTTGTTTTAGATTAGCAACCTTGGAATTTTATTTAGTTTAGATTTAATTTACTAATTTTAAAATGTTTAATTTAGCTTAGATTTAATTTAGTAATTTTAGAACTATTTTTGCAACCTTAGAATTTGTAGTTAGTTTAGAATTTTTTAGTAAGTAATATTAAATTTTTAATATAGTTTAAATAACTTCTTTAGATAATTAGTTATATTCTCTTTACTTTATTTATTTAAATATCTTTGTCATTTCAATTTCTCGGTGCCTCTTGATCATTAATTTGTTTTTGTCAGATTTATTTTCTTGTGAACTTCTGAATGTTTATATTTTAATGTTCATTTTATTTTGCTTACTCCAAGGGAAAGAATTAAATTTGTTGACTTCATGTCACCGAATACATCCCATCCGATCGTGCGAATACCCTTTTTCATTTTTTTTGTTTGGTTACTATTTTGCTAAACTCAAGATAATTTTCCCAAAAGACCCCATTTTCAAACTCATACCTTTTAAGTCAAAACTTCGACACTAGGTCGTCGTATCTTCAAAATCTCGTCCATACCCATCTTTTATCCAAACGAACCATTTTAATCAAACAAACAATTTTAAACCAAAAAACAGATATTTCAAAAGGTTCCTGCGGAGTACCGCAGATGCATTGGGTGCTAATACCTTCCCATTGTATAACCAACCCCCGAACTCTCGATCTCTTTCAAAAATGCATTGTATTTTCATTACTTTTAAATATTACTTTACATTGCATATTTTAGGGTTTATTTTCGCTCTTTTCCCTTTTCCCTTGGAAATAATAAAGCGCGGTGGCGACTCTTGCTTTTGTGAGTCAAGTTAATTAATAGCTTGATCTCCGATTTTCACCGCTACACCGAGCTGAGTTTATTTCTCTGAATACATAAGCTAAATCCCCAACAGAGTTTATTCCTCCAGCTACGGAAGTTCATCCCCCAGCGGAGTTTATTTCTCCGAATCGGAAAAATATTCCAGCAAAGCATCTCCTCTCTCAAACAGAATTATTCCCCCGCAGAGTTTATTCTCAAGCAGAGTCTCTCCCCAGCAGAATATTCACATACAGAAAGGAGTAAATACACGGTATAGTCGTCTCCGTTCACCATCCCCAGCAGAAGTAGAAGAACCACTTTTTCTATAACAGTCAGGAATTCAATTTCCAATACTCTCCAGCAGCAGTCAGGGATTTATTTTCCCAAACTTGGATATGTCACAATAGCATTTTATGTTCATACATCATGACGTGCGCATACATATTGCATACATCATAATCTCATTTATTTTAAGAACATCATCACACAATGCATTTCATGCATCGCATATAATTAATCTTGTACCTTTTCAGGAAAGGTGGTTATCATCAACAAATCCAACAGTTCAAGATTAAATCCATGAAACTATACATGTCACATTTGCTGACAACTAATGGAAAATCAGTTCTCAAAACCAAACGGGTCAACTAATCTATGTGATCAAATGAGGCAGCCCTACTATCTAGGCTTTCATTTCAAAGTAACCATACAACCCATGTTCCTTCTTGCATCCCTACTATCCAGGCTTTCATTTCGAAGTAACCCTACTACCCAGGTTCCTTCTCATAGCCCTACTATCTAGGATTTCATTTTGAAGTAACCCTACTACCCAGGTTCCTTCTCGCAGCCCTACTATCTAGGCTTTCATTTTGAAGTAAACCTACTATCCAGGTTCCTTCTCATAGCCCTACTATTCAGGCTTTCATTTCGAAGTAACCCTACTATCCAGGTTCCTTCTCATATCCCTACTATCCAGGCTTTCATTTCGAAGTAACCCTATTATCCAGGTTCCTTCTCATAGCCCTACTATCCAGGCTTTCATTTCGAAGTAACCCTACTATCCAGGTTCCTTCTCATAGCCCTACTATCCAAGCTTTCATTTCGAAGTAACCCTACTATCAAGGTTCCTTCTCATAGCCCTACTATCCAGGCTTTCATTTCGAAGTAACCCTACTATCCAGGTTCCTTCTCATAGCCCTACTATTCGGGCTGTCATTTCGAAGTAACCCTATTATCCAGGTTCCTTCTCATAGCCCTACTATCCAGGCTGTCATTTCGAAGTAACCCTACTATCCAGGTTCCTTCTTGTAGCCCTACTATCCAGGTTGTCATTTCCAAGTAACCCTATAATCCAGGTTCCTTCTTATAGCCCTACTATCTAGGCTTTCATTTCGAAGTAACCCTACTATCCAAGTTCCTTCTCATAGCCCTACCATCCAGGCTTTCATTTTGAAGTAACCCTACTATCCAGGTTCCTTCTCATAGCCCTACTATCCAGGCTCCTTCCCTTTTATCTCTGGACAACAGTTCACAACACTGTAAAACCTGGACCCGACCAGATACGGTCAATTTCATATTCCCCAGTAAGTCGTCATGAAACCCGGGTTCGACCAGATAACAACTCACTTTTGTCTCATCAATCAAGAGTTAATTCCCTAATAGAGTAATGGACAACCGAAGTTCCTAGACTCTATTTCCTAGGACATAAATCAGCATTCCCCGGCGAAGTCCTCCTCAATAGCAGGTACAGGAATTCTCGCAAAGGAATCTCTTATGCGACTGATATCTTTTCTTGATGGCATCTTTAAGCCCATCTTCGAGGATTCTCCGTCGCCTTCCAAATGGCATCTGTAAGCCCATTCCTGATATTATCGATCGACATTCACTCGAGACGAGTGCAAATTTCTGGACACTCTAGTGTCCAATCATCTTCCACCTTCAGATCATGAAAGACAGACCAGCCAATCTACATCCTCAAGTTTAAGAAGATTGAACAAGGGAAGCTGTTGTACCCCAAAATTTTACCTCCCATTCTCACACAAAACATACTCCTAAAGGTCCTTAATTGCTCAAAAAAAGTTGACTAAGGATTGACCAGACAAATCCTCCTCCTAAGACAATGAGCCTCAAACTAGGGTTTCACTCATCAATAAGATGTTTGAGTTACAAGGGCCTAAATGATTTCCATTGCCATAATATGTCCTCAAGATCATCCATGCCAAGTTTCATGCCTTGAACAAGAAGTTTGCTCTGTCAACTGCTCAAATGCCTAAAAATCAACTGTACTAGGTCAAAAGTCAATTGTGACCTACATACAGTCAAACTTCAAGATTTTTGGTCAACATCAACATTTTGAAGTGATATAAATCATTTTATCAAGGGTTGATCATGATTCCTCAAGGAATGCTCCTAATTCATCAAAACTCAAAAGTTACTAAATTAGGGTTTCTATAGGAAAAGTCAACCAAAATTTGACCAGGCATAACATTCTCATACTTTGTCAGAAATTTCTCATCCAAGGCTTATTTTGAAGAGAATCCAATTCCCTACAACTCAACTTCATCCACCAAGTTCAAGAAATGCACTCATGAAAAGATATAAATTCAGACATTATAGGTCCTTTTCAAAAGTCAACAAAACACCTTTTGGGTCAAAGCTTCTTACATGATCATGGAAGATCCAATTGATATGAAACTAAAGAGGTTGCTTATGGGACATCCTAAGATTTCTAAAAAGTCCAAGAACACCCTCTTAGGGTTAAAATTTAGAGAGATATGCATTGTCAAAGTTGGAAATTTTGGAAATTTGGACAAAGTCAACAATGCCAAAAATTGCATTTTTTTTCCACATGGGCCCATCTTTTCAAGATTGAATCTCAGTCCTAACATGGTCCACGACCTTGGGACCCTTCATGCCTTATTCACTTATTTATTTAATTTATTTTGATTTTTATTCATTTAAAAATCAAATAAATCCA